CTGTCATCACCAACAGCAGGGAACCTGGAGGCTGCAGACTCCTCTTGCCCCCATAGCTCCTCGCTTTCCATTTCTCTTGGGATAGCTCCCTTCATATCCAAAGTGGGCTCACAGGTTCCTCTTGAGGATCAAATAAGATAACAGTGCCAGGCTGCCACACTGTGAGCCCTGAGATGTTCTCCTCTCATTTAGGGGAGCCGAGAGACCTGGGAAATGCTGACTTGGCACCATGACTTGCAAAAAGAGCAGGCCACTGCCCACCAAGACTACAGACTCGCGAAGACAGGAGTGACCACGACCACGTGTGCTCTCCATAGTGAAGACAGAAAGTCTGTGATCACTTGCCCACACTGAAACAGATTCAAGGCTCACTCCTTTCTTAGTGTAAAGGGCAGAGCATCCGGCTGACATAAAAGGCAGTGCTTTCCTAACAAGGGCCCCCCCCGTCAAAGGCATCTGCAGAGGGCCCCATTCCAAGGCGGCAAGGGTTTCTGGAGATAAATGCTGCTTAAATCAACATTTTCTGTTTTTTTTTTTTTTTAAACCAGCAGGGGCTAGAGGAAGGGGTGGGAGTAGAAAAGAGTGCTATAATACATCATTTTACAGCTAAACAAAAATGTTTTAGAGGCTGCCAAACCTTCTTTTACTCTTCAAAGCTCCAGACAGCTCTGAGAACTAATGCTGCACAGGTTTTAGGCTCTGGCAAGCAATGCAGTTGAGACTCTGTTTTCTGCCTGCCAGGGCTGGAGCTTTGTCCAGGTGCCCAAATCTGGGACCTCACCTGTGAAATGAGACAGAGAAGGCCACCTCCATACCTGAGAGGTGCTGTGGCAGGCTGGAGAGCTGGGGACAAGGAGGACAACTCAAATCTTCCATCTTTCCAGAGAAAGCTTTCTGGAGGACAACTTTGCAGGAAGACCCAAAGCTGGAAACCCCACACCTCGGGGTTCTGCAGAGCTTTGGTGGCAGGGCTGTTGTGGTAGCCTTGGCTTTAAGTTAACAATGAAAGCACAAACCCCACAGAACAGGAATAAGATCAGATGCCCTATGCCAACCCCTCTAATAAAACACAATACAGTCCATGAGCAGGGCAGAGGGAAAATGTTAAAAGATGCCCACAATGCTCAGGAAACTGGGTTAAGAAAAAATTTAGGTTCGTCAGGTGTGTGGTGCATATCTATAATCTCAGAGACTCCAGAGGCTAAGGCAGGAGGATGGCAAGTTCAAAGCCAATCTAGGCAAGTTAGCAAGACCTTGTCTCAAAATTAAAAATAGAAAAAGGTCTGGCAATGTAGCTCAGTGGTAGAGTCCCCCTGGATTCAATCCCCAGTATCTAAAAAATAAAATAAAATAAATTCAGGTTATAAAACACCCTGGGGTTGGTCTCATGGTGAAACACTTGCAGAACATTTAGAAATCATGCTTCAAGTACACTGGACAAGTGCTGCATCTCTTAATAGGAACACGGGGTGATCTGTCCTTCTTTCTTTTCAATTGTCTGAATTTTCAAAAAATACTAATAACAAGCACAAATTGATTTAAGAAAAGCTTATAACTCACTCCAACCAATTCCTCCCCACCCCTGATTTCCTGAAGCATAGGCAAAAAAAACTGACACCTCAGTTCCAAAGGTTCAGAGGCCCAGGACAATAATTGGGAACCCTGAGAATGAGCAGTAGAAGTACCAAGAGAGAAAGGATGGATGAGCAAGGCTAGCACTGACCCAGGAGAACCCACAAGACTGAGAGGCTTAGCAATCTCATATAACATGTTCGTCTGCAGCCCTCTGGACCACAGTCATGTGCCACATAACAATGTCCTGGTCACTAGTGGACCACATATGTCAGTGGTTCCATAAGATTATGTCACTTAGTCATACTGAAGCCATCTGGGTTTGTATAAGTACACTCTATAACATTTTATATATATATATATATATATGGAGGACAACACAAGTCTAATATATATATGGAGGACAACACAAATGCCTAAGGACGCATTTCTCAGAACACCTTAAGTGATGCGACAGGGTATGCTCACACCGCAGAGTTAGTTCTCAGACTGAAACAGGATCCAGGCAAGAGGTGATTCCCTTGGAAGAGACGGGAAGATGTTTCCTGTGGTCATGAGTGTCTAGTATGGAACTCTGCTCTCTCAGCTTCTCTGAGTCCTTTAGTCAGTTATAACTGGAAATCCTTTGTAATTGACATATCTGCTATCATTTCCATCTGGAATGTCTCCCAAAGGCCCATGTGGTGAAGAGAGTAGAACTTTTGGGAGGTGGTGAAACTCTGAGAGGTGGGACCTAGTGGAAGGAAGTTAGGTCACTGGGTGTATCCTTCAAGGGGATGTTGGTACCGTAGCCCCTTCCTCTCTCCCTCTTTGCTTCCTCTTATTAAGTGAGCAGTCTCCTCCCTGATGTGATGAGATTCTGCCTCCCCACAAGCTAGGAGAAAATAGGTCCAAGCAACCATGGACTGCAACTTTGGAAACAGTGAACTACAATAAACCTTTGCTCATTATAAACTGTTAAAAAGCCGAACACCACAAGATTTATGCACACATGTGTGTGTGCATGTGCATTTCTGTACATTTTCTGCAAACTTTCACATAACCTCTGAGGGGTGATGAACACACAGCTGCTTTCCTTATCCACATAATACCAGTGTGGATCCTTCACTACTTCTGCGTTATGTGGCCCTGGGGCTCCATTAGCTCCAAGGTGGCTAAAAGGACAGGGGCTGGGTGCCTGTGGAGTAGCGAACGTGGAGCTCTCCTGAGCAGCAGACCCAGCTCATGCTGGGCCCAGGTGGGCCACACCACACACTGGATTTCTCACCACTCTCCTCTTAGAACATGAGCACAGAGATCATCTACCTGAGACCTACAACTTCAGAAACCCCCATCTCACGGTCACTACCCCTCCATGCTCACACAGCCCTCAGCAACAAGGGAACTCTCATGTTGAGAGTCCCACATGCACAATTCCTGCAGGCAGATCCTGGCCATGTCCTGCATTTTGGTGGACTCCCCACACCACACATTCATAGCCTTATCATGTGGCCTGCTGGCCAGTTGTGGTGCAGTACTCAGACCCACCCTTCTGGGCCCAATTTAGGAATCTGAGTCAGCTAAACTCAGTGTCACTGACTAGTTCTCCAAATTGTCCCTTCCTCTTCTTACCTTGGGCTATTTACTCACATCTTCAGTAACCACCTTATGTTCTCCCCTCCAATACAAGAGAACACAGTGTAATCTACAGACAGGAGTTAATGCTTCATGTTAATAGAGGCCACTGGAAAAGAGCTCCGCTGTGAAAAATTTGATAATCCAAGTCAGGCGCAGCGCCGCCCTCCTGTAATCCCAGAGGCTGGGGAGGCAGAGGCAGGAGGATCACAAGTTCAAAACTAGCCTCAGCAATTGAGCAAGGCCTGAAGCAACTTAGTAAGATCCTGTCTCAAAATAAAATGTAAAAAGGGCTGGGGATGTGGCTCAGGGGTTAAGCACCTCTGGATTCAATCCCTGACACACACACACATACACACACACACAAAAAAAATTGATAATCCAGTTTGGGAAAAGGTGACAGAGATCTGCCTGATAGCCTTTATGATTCCTGTATACACTATGGATCTTTTTTCCAAAAGTTTTTACATGTGATTGTTTTAATATGTTGGTATCTTAAAGAACTAGGTTCTGAATGATTTGCACCAGGAAAGAACTTCCTATATATTTTATATTGAAAGGCTGGCCTCTTCTACAACATCTGCCTGCTGAAGCCCCAAACTTAACCTGAGTTTTAATGCCCTCAGAATTCGCACTCCATCTCTGGGTACCTCCTTCGGTCCAGGGGTATTCGGCATTGTAATAATTCCTCTTGTTGAAATGTCACTCAACACAGTCTAGGAAGGGCACACATTTGCCCAGCACAAGCAAAGTCGTGTCCTGTGGTGCCCAGGAACACATGATAGATGCCCCAGGCACTGGGCAGAGATACCACCTTCCTGAGTCACGGGAAGTTAAGCGATGCACAAGAGTACAACACTGATGCTATTGCCAACGCTGGCTTTTAAATACTGAACATCTGGATACAACTAAATTTGAACCAGAAAAGAAAGAAAAGGAAAGAAAAGAAGAAATAATGCCCTTCCCCAAAACAGGACTGATTCTCAGTCAGTGGCTGAGAAAGATGAAAGACCAGAATGACTGAAGGAGGCCTGAGTCATCTTCTTTGAAATCCACCCGCACTTGCTTCTTTCAGTCACCCCAGCAGGCAGCTGTCCTTTCATTCCTTTCCTGCTTCACGGGTTACTTGTGACCCACATTATATGTTCCATGGATGAACAGAGAGCAATGTAGGTGAGACAGACTTACAACAATTGACATTACAATGATACAGCCATGGACGCCTATATAACAAGCAAACAGAAATAAACTCCAAAGGTCTGTCACCTGCAGGGCCACACAACAGGAGGACAACTGTTTGTGACCATTGTTTGGCATTCCCCACACTCAATCAGGAAGAGAGAGAAGACAGAAACACACACACACACACACACGTACAAACATCAGATAAGGAGGTGCACAGTAACCACCATTATCTAATTTCACCAAACCTGATCCTCATGAACACAGAGCACAGTGGCGCACGCCTGTAATCCCAGCCACTCAGGAGTCTGAGGCAGGGGGATCATGAGTTCAAGCCCAGCCTCAGCAATTTAGCGAGGTGCTAAGCAACTCAGGAGACCCTGTCTCTAAATAAAATACAAAATAAAAGGACTGGGGATGTGACTCCGTAGTTAAGCACAGCTGGGTTCAATCCCTGATACTGGGGGAGTCGGGGGACTGCATCACACCCAAAGCACGGCTTCTGGGTTTCTGGAAATATGGGGAGATTTTCATCTTCTGAGCAGATAGCAAAGTTTTTCTGAGCTAACTGTAGGGAGGCTGTCTTCTCTGCGTCCCCCTCTCAGCCATACACGGGAGCTAAGAGCACGTACCTTCTCCATCTGCACTCAGGTTCTCGTAGGAGTCCCAGCGGATCAATGGGTCTGCCGTGTTGTAGTCCACAATCACCCCATGGTCATTGTGCAGATGCTCACAGCCTGTAGGGAGGGGCACAGCAGGACATTAGTCCCAACAAAGCCCAGTACTTCTGTCATCCACCTGACCCTGAGGGATGAGGGAAGCTGAGCTGCTGCATTTAAGCATGAAAGTGAAGCTCTGTGTTCACTGTCCCTCTCCACCATGCATGGCACTAATCAGAGATGCAGGCACAATTGTTGACAAACTGAATAACTGCTAAAACCTCTCAGTGGAAAGGCAAGGTGAACACCGGTCATTCGTATACTGTGCCAGACTCTGGGCTCTGAGCACCACTTTGCAAAAAGAAAGCCCTTGGTGGGGACACAGGGGTGCCTTCGGATGGTGTTCAGTCTCAGAAAGGATGACTTTGAGGCTCTTGGCTCCTAAGTCCTTATTCCTGCCTTTAATCATTCTAAGAATGCCAAGAGGAATTTTAACACACAAGCCTTGCATTTAATAGTTCCTGTCTAAATCTGTGACAGTGAGCCTAGAAAAAGGTGACTGTTTTCCCAAGTTGTTAAAAGGGAATTAAAACTTTTATGCAAGTGGAATTTTCAATTATCACTTGATGATAGAAAGATTGCTTTGTAAAAATGTTTTTATGAAATAGGAGAAATTGTTTTGCAACTTAGATATTTGCAGTCTACCGTACTTAAAATTCTCTTCTAAAATGTTCATTGTTTGTTGAAGACAAAAGTAAATATTTAGCATAATTTCCCAGGAAATGGAGGGTGGATCCTCAGGAACACCAGTGAGCTCTACAGAGTTCCTGCCCTCCTTGGTGAAGGAGTTTTGGGCAAGTCATGTCATTTCTGGCTCTTACTGACGGAAGTACGCTTTAGCTCTCTGAACTGCCTCAGTCCTCCCCACTGTCCAGTATCCTACTTTTTAAAGTTTAATTACAAACATTTCCAAGTAGGTGCAGAGGTGGGAGGCCAAGACAGTCACCCCAGGGTACCAACAACCACCCCAGTCAGCGTCAACCTCCAGCTGCCCAAGCATCTTGCCGGCTACCCACCTTGGATCTTCTCAGGTGTGGCCGAGAAGACTAACTCAATCTTCCCGTAGTCTGGAAAACGGTCATCTGAAAAAACACATTTGGAGCTGATGAGCTACAAAAGCAGAGGATGGTATTCTTCTTGTATTCCAACCAGAGCTGCAATGGAAACACCTCAGGGTACACAGCATCCCAGTTTCCCTGAACTCTTTTCTACCACAGATCAGTAACAATTAAATTTTGCCAGCAGGCTGAATTTGGGGAGAGGGTTAGGGGGATTCATGCCCACATGAGCAGGGCAAGCTGCTCCATTCCCTGTGATCTCCATATGCTCTGAGGCCACCAGCTCCATCTCACCTTTGCAGGCACTGTCCAGATCCTCCTTTCCAAACACCAGTCCATAGCCCTGCACAGCCCCAGTGTGAAACTGCAGGCGGAAAATGACATCACGGGTGGCCGAACGATACTTCTTGTGGTAGCATTTCACCTGGTTACAGAGGGGAAGAAAAAACAGGTGACTACTGAGCATAAGAGCATGAAACTAGCAAGGACGACGCTCCACCTGCATTGGTGAGCATGGCATGGGCCCCTCTGAACTGTTGTGGCAAAGAGTTCACATCCACGTGGGCTGGAACTCTGACCCTGGACAAGGGTGTTGGAAGATGCCATGGTGGCATCTTTCATTGCTGCTGCTGCTGCAGTGATGAATCCTTAGGACACTTCCCAAGATCCTTGTGCTGTTTCAAAGGAATCAAAGTCCTGAAACACCAGGGTCTTCAGTCCTCAGGTGGGCCACACCCAAATAATTGCAGGGCACAAGAATGTGTCATCTGAAGAATAAAATTTGGTGGCCTCTTTCTCCTCAATTTTAACAACTTATTGTGATAAAGTTTTTCTTTCATCTAAACTCTATGTTTTGAATTAAGGCCTTTCTGTTTTCACCAAGAGGAAGCAGCTGGGCATTACAGAGCAGGGAGGAGCTATAGGGAGAGAGGAAGACAAATCAAGAGAAAGAGGAGAGATGGACAAAGAAATAGATAAATACAGAAAACGATAAGACAGAAAGAGAAAACATGTGGCATTTAGTTTCCTATGCCTGAATGTCTGGATGGCCTATAAGCAATCATTTTAGGAGAAACCTTCACAATTACCCTGTTATGATCCGAACTCAGGATGCAATGCCCAGCCATAGATTTTGTGATTTACTAGGTCCCTTGGGTGCTAATTAAGCCCCCTGGGTGGCATGCCAATAACAGAGTGGAGGGATTATTGGGAGATGGTGAAGTCAGCCCGCAGCATCATAAACCATCTTTACACCAGGGGCCTCGCCACATTAGGCCACATGCTGTGGGGAGATGGCAGGGATGCTTCACTCGAATGACAGGGGCAAGGCTCCCAGGGCATTCAGGGTGGACTAGGCTCTCAAAGCACAAAGTGTTCAGGGAAGGCACATCATCCCATGGGAAACTGAGAGTGGGAGACGGTTGGCTACCAGGGCAGCCACTTTTCCTAAAAGAGACTTTTTCTGGGGAGCAGTGGCTTTAAAATAGGACATGCTTCACAAACACAAATGACAAATAATACAGAAATGTGTTTATGAACAGTGACACAGGAGAATGTGCAGGTAACATTCCATCCTGTAGCTGGAGAAACCATCCCACAGAAACTAAAGGAAAGGAAACCCAAAGAGTTTTAGCCCAGGGTGCTGGGAACCGTGACCCCTTGGACAGACCCAGAAGTTGTTTACCATTCTACTATCTACAAGGAAACAGTACGATAAATAAATGGAAAAAAAAATGTAAATAAGACCTTGGGGGATGTTCCCTGTTGACAAATACAAGCTGAGCATTTTTTGCATGGTGAGGTGCCGCCAGGGATGTTGTAAATCTGGGTGATACAAACAGAGACCTGGCTGGAGGAGTTTGCAGCCAGCAAACAAGAATTGGGAAGGAATGTGAAGACTTTAACTGGCTTTACAGCCAAGGCATACTGGTCTCGAATCTTCCTCCTGGTCTGAGAATCTCTGACTCCTCAACAAGGCTCAATCAAAGACTATTTTGTAGTAATCCTTCCAGAATATTCTGGGAGCATCTTCACCCTTCCTCTGAGCACTCACACCTCACACTCACCACAGTGATTGCCCATCAAATGATTTAGGCCTGGAGTAAGAGAGAGCTTCTCCCAGCCAGAACGGGGCCTATCCATAACTACCTGGTCTCTAAGGATGACAGCTTCTCTCTCTCTTTATGTCCATTTATTGCCTTGGAAGTAGGGAGTGATCAGGGGATACCAGGGCAGAAAAAGGGAAAAAAGCTCCAATTCAAGCCAATCTTGCTCTCAAATTCTATAAATAATTAGGAGAAGAAAGATTTGAGAAACAACAGCATCTCAGGAAGCAAACAGTTAGTAAGGGGAGGACACCCAGCCCATTCAGGCATGGAGTCACCTAGAATAGGTGGCCTGTGGGTGAAGCCAGGTGAATACAGGCCCAGGGTGGTCTCCAGGCACACCTGTGTATGGGAACTATCCATGTGACCCAGCTTGTTTCTCAGGAGGTATTGTCTACTCTTCCACCTGCTCGGAATTACAGGCAAACTCATTCTATAGCCACCACCTGAGTCTGCATAACCTGTCCCAACCTTGAGCCTCCTGGGAGCCCACCTCTTGGTCCTGCCCACCCTCTCCAGAGCCTAGGATGCCTGCAGTTCCCACTCCTGCTCATCACAGGCAGCTACACACAAACACTGTGACTCATCAAACAGGAATCCCAGATCCCTCCACTTGCCAGGAAGGGAGGAAATGCCAGGCACAGGTTTCACCCCAGCAGTTCTGAGTCTCCTGTTTGAAGATTCTAAATTACCACAAATACTCGTGGGCAAAACAAGGAGAACGTGATCTATCCCAAGGCACAAATGCTGCCCAGGACTCCCGGGAGTCCCACCTAAAGGGTTCTATAAGTATTTGGGGCAATGCCCCCTATCTTACATAATCCCTGCTTCACACTGAACTTCTTCTCATCCATCAGGGGAGGCAACAGCACCCCCTCCTGTCCTCCTGACCAACTCAGGAACTTGGGAAAGACAGAAACTGCATTATTTTCCCTATCCAGGGAAAATTTTCCCAGATACTGGTTCCTAGCGGCCATCACCAGCAAAACAGGTCAGAACTGGGAATGAAACATCCCAAAAGCTAAGACACCACCTCAATGGTCTCTCCAAGATTACCTCCAGAGGAACCAGTACTTATCCATTAATAAAGTCAATAAATAATTGTAGCATCAGTGGCCAGAGATCAGAACTGTATTCATAACACTTAACAGAAAAAACAACACTGCATTTGACATAAGTCCCAAAGACCTCCCTTTAAGATATAAGGTAGTGCAAGCACTTTATAAAAGACTGGAATGTGGGGTTGAAGTCTCAAATTTCCCCCTTCAGCCTCTGGCTTTAGTAGTTTTATCAACCTGAATCTCTCCAGAATGTTTCTAGAATATGTTCATACTCTGCCTTTGTATTTTAGAATATCTACATTTAGAACAACAATTGCAGTCATGATTTCATGGTATGGAAAAATAAAATAAGAAACAGCCAACACCGTATCAAGTGACATGAAGCATCTGTCAACATGCTGTCACAGACAGACCCACATGAGCAGCATGTGGGTGCTAATACTGACAGGACAACTTGCTGGGGAGCCCTTCAGAACATGGGCATGTTGCAGGCTTTGTGGACTTTATATTCTCTGGCTGTCAAATGGATATTGTAACATGGGCTTATTTTGTTATACAGATTAAATGGGCACTACACAAATACAATCTGTAATTCCAAGTATCTGTGACATCAATTACATTTATATGTACAGTCAGCCAGGTCTTTATGCAGATTCAACCAACCACAGACAGAAAATATTTGGGGAAAAATATGTATCTGTATTGAAACTATTCAGACAATTTTCCCTTGTCATTAATTCTTAAATGACACAGTAGAACAACGATTTACATACAATTTACCTTGTATTGGGTATTATAAGTAATCTAGAGATGCTTTAAAGTATACTCAAGTACTGCATCGTTTTGTATGGGACTTGAGCATCCTCAGAGTTTGGTATCCACATGAGTCCTGGAACCAGTCCTCTGTAGATACAAAAGTGATGCTGTAT